AGAACCACAAAAGCAAAGCTGAGCTTCTAAATTCAGAGGAAGGGGAGGGAGACCTGGGAGTAGGTAAGCTGTGTTGTGTTTCTCTCTTGTTGCCACACACACACACACACACACACACACACACACACACACACACACACACACACACAAAACAAAGCCATTTTACATCCCTTCAGAGAAAACTGCATTTACTTGTTTTGTTTTTTTTTCTGCAAAAGCTCCCAAACCCTACACATTTCTACCACAGCTCTTAACCTAAACATAACTTCATGATAATCTTGCTTTAAAACACACTTATTTCCCATTATGACTGTAAAAAGGGATTTATATCCCCACATTAAGAGTAGCACACAGGAGAAACAGACACACAGTCAAAGGCAAATCGCAGGTACACAGAGATGCTATCTTATCTTGCATATCAGCATTACCTGACCCTCCTCTCCATCCCTCTCCCGCCCTTCCCTCTCCTTTCTCCCTCTCTGCTGCTCTGCACTCCTAATGTTACATTTTCACTGTCCTCGAGCCCCTCATCTTTTTTTCCCCTATCTTTAACCTGCCCTTGTTATCTCATTCCCGTTTCTCCGCTCAAACCATTTTTTCAGCACAGTCATTCTAGGCACTTCTCTAAGATTCTGAAAGCAAACTTTTTTTCTTCATTCTTTAGAGCAATAATGGACATGGTGCAACCTAGAAATTCAAAATTGATAAGACAGCTTTGATCATGTGCTACCTTTAAGTGAATTATACATCAATTTGTACTTAAAAAGCAGATTCAGTGCCGAAAGGTTGATTGAATTGTAGTGTTCCAGCAAATAGGAGGTCCATCGATATAGTTGACTCTACTTTGGTAACTGTCCACTATAAAAGAATAATGCATTATTTTACTCTCCTAATAAGTTACAGAAATAATGGGATGGGATCTTTTGCCTGTATTAAAAAAAATACAGGCAAAAGATAACATTAGCATTTTAGTGCCAATGATTGTGTCGCCTTTTTGGTCACTCATTGACTTCTTTTCATTTATGTCACAGTGCAGCTGTTGATACACGATGTGCCTCATTTATCCTTTGTGAATGGTAGGTTCACCGTTTGCTCGTGCCAGCTTGAAGAGCTCCAAGCTGGAGGGATCAACTTTCAAGCGGCGGGAGCGGCGGTTTCGCTTCTTTATCCGTCACGTTGTTAAGTCCCAGGGCTTCTACTGGACCGTGCTGTGTTTGGTGGGCCTCAACACGCTGTGTGTGGCTGTTGTGCACTACGACCAGCCTGAACCACTTTCAGATTTTCTATGTGAGTAGGAGGTGAATGCTTGCATACTTAGTGCAAGTATGGGCCGATTATCTCCGCAAATGCACAAATACTTTCATCACAGATTATTGGAAAAGGAGTGGGTGAGCAAATTCTTCATTAATGTGGCTAAATCCATGAAAGAGCTGACCCAGTCGTTTAACACAAGCGCATCCAAGCACACACAGTTTTCCTCTCATGCAGACTAAGTCTTTTTCAAAAACGGTTCTGGGACAAATACACACACAGAGAGTCGCTCAGGTTTTCACCCTCGTCTCTTTTTGTGTTCTTCCCTCTGTGCAGATTTTGCCGAATTCATCTTCCTGGGAATATTCTTGACAGAGATGTTTGTAAAACTGTACGGCCTGGGCAGACAGGCCTACCTCAACTCCTCCTTCAACTGCTTCGACTGCATTGTGAGCCCCTCTCAGCTTGGGTCCACACCCAATAAAAAATAACACAATGTACAAACTCATAAGCGGGTCTATAGACGGACTTTACACCTGTGGGATGAAAACAATGCATGAAAAAAACCTCTGCTATAGACTTTACACAAACACAAATGTGCCATACTGCATGCTGATGTCTGTAGATTATTTGCTCAGTATAATAAATAACTATGTATAATTGCATATGCTTACATTTATATTAGGTGATATGTGGTAGCATATTTGAAGTCCTTTGGTCCATCATCCAACCGGGCACATCGTTTGGCATCAGTGTGCTACGAGCTCTCAGGTTATTGAGGATCTTCAAAGTCACCAAGTGAGTCACTTGTAATACAGTAATGATCATACATTAAAATAAAGGACATGGTATTATCATCATTTCCATGTGTCTGTTTCCCAGGTACTGGGCGTCTTTGCGTAACCTCGTCGTGTCTCTGCTCAATTCCATGAAGTCCATCATCAGCTTGCTCTTCCTGCTCTTCCTCTTCATAGTCGTCTTTGCGCTGCTGGGCATGCAGCTCTTCGGAGGACAGTCAGTGTCTCTCTCCTTCCCCTTTAACAGCCATGATTTAATTTTCTGCTAACCTATTGGTTTTTGCTAATTGCCAGTTGACCTAAGGCAGTTTTTCAGAGCGCTGGTTTTTCAGACAAACATTTGTTGTGCTTGCCTCTGGCTCTCTCAGTCGTTCTCTCTATGCTCACTGTTTTCTCAGCTCCTATTATATATATATATATATATTTTTTTTTTTCATTCTTTCACTGCTAGGTTTAATTTTGAAAATGGCACCCCTCCAACCAACTTCGATACATTTCCCGCAGCAATAATGACGGTGTTCCAGGTAAGCAGAGGAGAGCGATGTACTGTAAAAGGAGAAAAGGGGAGGGAGAGGCTAGTGGAGGGAGAAAAAGCCGCAAAAAAGAAGACAAAGCTGGATTAAAGCTAAATGCTGAAAGGACCAAAGAGGATTTGCGCACGAGGAAGTGATATAAAATGTAAAATGCTACTCTAGAACCCTTAAAGATTATTAGGTGGGAGCATAATTCTGCTAAAACATGTTCAAATATTTAAGTAGTGTGTAGAAAAGGGTGAGTCTGTTCTTTGATTATAGCATTTTGAGCAAATATGTGGACGTGAGAGTGCTCGTCATAGCATTGTCTGAATATTTGTGTATGTTTGCCAGATCCTGACCGGCGAGGACTGGAATATGGTGATGTATGATGGCATCAAATCTCAGGGTGGAGTCAACAAGGGCATGGCCTTCTCCGTCTTCTTCATTGTACTCACGCTTTTTGGCAACTGTATCCCTTGACAGTGACATTGAAGATAAGCCTACATGCATGCGCAACTCCCAGATATTTAGACATTTGTAGATGTGTTTTACACATTTTTACTTTACTAGTAAAAAGTCATACAAAGGTTAAATGCAGATTTTTTTTTCACAGTTTTCTTTAGGACAGCCTCAAAAGTGGAATAGTTCGAATGCTTCTTTCTACCTATTGCTGTTTGCTGTTGTTTTGTAGTTGCGGTTAATCTGAATAGAAGTGCTACTTTTTTTCTTAGCCTTACTTCCTTTAATCTTTTTTTTTTGGCATATCGACATTAAAGCAATTAGTCTTGCATCGAGACATCGAGACATTGCACAGAAACCATCCGACAAACAACCTGCATGATGGTCTGCCTGAGAAGCTCAATTCACTGCAGGGGCCAGTCCCTCTCCAACGGTCACTTGCAAGAGCTTCAGTCAGTGTTGTATTTACTGTTTTATTCACTGACAACCTGTTCTTTGGCACGGCTGACAAAAGATCAAAGTGAGAACGTGTAAGAAAAAGAACAATCTCTGAGAAATAGTCATGCTTCTTTTATTCATGCTGGACTGAGGGCAGAGTCAGCTCTTCATCTTCAGCTACAGAGTCATATTATGTACAATCTCAGTTCTACAAAGGTTTTGATGCTGTGGACAAACCCATATATAACACAGAAAACATATTAAATGTTAAAACTGGGACATTTTACTGCTTTATAAAGAAAATACTGGCTCGTTTTGAATTTGAAGGTGGCAACATGTCTCAAAAAAGTTGGGATGGGGCAAAAAAAGGCTGGAAAAGAAAGTGGTCTAAAAAGAAACACCTCAAGGAGTTTGCACCCAGTTAGGTTCACTGGCAACAGGTCAGTAACATAATCGGGTGTAAAAAGAACATGTCAGAGAGTGAGACAGTCTCTCAGAAATAAAGATGGGCAGAGGTTCACCAATCTGCAAACAACTGTCAACAAATTGCAGAACAGTATTAGAATACTTTTCCTGTAATAATGCAAAATTTTGAGTGCTTTGAATATCTGATCATCTGCAGTGCATAATATCATGAAATACAGAATCCAGAGGAATCTCTGTGCACAAGGGACATGTTATGTAGCGCTGTGTGGAAACACAGGGAAGCACATAGCAGACAGGGATGATGTGACAACAAGCGGACGAATACAGAGAACCTAAATGCAGACAGGATCATGAGAGGAAGGGAAACAGCAGAGAACACCGCTGGAATTAATACAGCCTAACAGGACAGGGAAGCAAAACTGAACACAGAGAACACAGGATGAGAGACTGTCAAAATAAAACAGGAAGTATGATAACACTTGACACTGGGAAGCAGACTAACTAAGGAGACAGAAAGGGAACCAAACGTGGAGACAAGAGTTAAACAAACATGAAGCTGACAAAACATGCAACACAGGAGAGGCATGGAAACGGAACCTAAAGACCAGATGACAAAACTAAGACCAGAAACTAATAATATAACACAAATAAGAAAAACAACTAAAAGAACCAGAACCAGGAAAATATACATTAAATCTTCGAATATTAAATAAACCAGAATCCGAAGGGTTCAAATACAAAAGCAGGACAAACAGGACAGGACAAACCTGAAATGGATGCTCGCCTTCAAGTGGCACTAAATTAAAAACAGGCAGAATTCTGTCATTCCGTTAACCATTGCATGGGCTTGGGAACACTTCTAGAAATCCCTTTCTTTGCCACGCAGGTTAAACCTCTGTCAGGCACAGTTCATGATCTAGATTGCTAGCATTTTGTAAGTAAATAAATTGGATATTTTCTCAGGTTAAACATTTGATATGTTTTCTTTGATATACTGTGAATAAAATATGGGTTTTATTAGATTTTCAAACCACTGCATTCTGTTTTTATCTACATTTTGCACAACGTCCCAATTTTTCTGGAATTGGGATTATAATACCAAAGTGATTGTCAACAGGTATCTAATCAGAGATTCTGATAAGTCCACTGTCCTGGCATATACTGACACAGACCTGTGTTGTCATCTGTAAGTTGAACCACACACTGTTAAGGGATCTGTAACAAGGATGATACTGTAGCAATAATGATACGCTGCAATCCAATACATCAACTTGCCAAGAGGTACATTATAATATAAGTGGCTTAGCCAATTATTTTATGTACATTTTGTTTTCTCTTGCACAAACAATCTCCCAGATGCTGGATTGCTTTTAACTCTGTGTTCAGACACTCTGCTGAATGTGTTCTTGGCCATCGCTGTGGACAATCTGGCCAACGCACAGGAACTGACCAAGGTATAGTACAGTCTAATATGAGTGCAGTTTCTTACACTAACACATTAACGACGAGTTATCCTCCTCTAATCAATGAACTTCTTCTGCTTCCCTCATGTGAATTTTTCCTGCCTTTATCATATTTGGGTTTTGATGTATTTTCTAATCCACATTTGCAGGATGAACAGGAAGAAGAGGAAGCTGCCAATCAGAAGATTGCCCTGCAGAAAGCCAAGGAAGTGGCTGAAGTTAGCCCACTATCTGCTGCAAACCTCTCCATTGCAGCGTGAGTCTCTGTCTCTATTACTTTTGTGTCACCATCTGGGAGTCTAGTACTTATGTCGGACTCAGCACATTGGGAAGTGGACGGTATAGCACAGTTGAGTGTTTGAAGTCAGGAAAACCGTCAGTGAACCATAATCTGTTCAAGTTTGGATTCTTAAAACATCACTTCATTGCCTTATGAACGTGTGGTGATGTTGCTGATTGCAAATAGTCTTTCATCACAATGAGCTTTAATGACTAATTACCCTTCAAAAGTACACAGCCCCACTTTTTCCTTAGAATTGCAATATATTCATTGATCAAATAGCATCTTCCAAACTGACTTTTTTCTGTTTCAATATAAAATTTAAAGTTCATGAATGTAAAAATTCTCTGTATATTTTGTCATCATAGTGGAATAAACAATGTCTTCATCTATCTGGCAAGGAAAGGAAATTGGGGATAGCCTAAACACACATATACTTGCTTCTCGTCCTTCTCTCTGTCATCTCTTTCTTCTCCTTTACTTTTTGTCTTAGTCTTTGATCCCTTTTCTCTGTACACACAAGGCTCTGTACTTTCATGTCTGGTAAAGTTCACACACTTTGCTCTCAGATGCAAATACGTGCATGAAAATACGTTCAGCACAACACAGGGGTACCATGTTTGCTTTTAAATACCATACATAATAGCACAGTCCTTACCATTTTGGTGTGTGAGACTGTGCTCACTCATTGTCACTCGCAGGTACAATGAACAAACATGCCCTAGAGTTTTAGCTCAATACACTCACACGCACATATGCTTATTAACATTTCCATCATTTCATGAATCGCTTAGGTTCTTGTTACTGTTTGTGCCGTGTAGTGTGCTTCACTATGAAGTGACCATCTGTGTCTGTGTAATCAGTTTAATTTACTTGGAATTATGATATAAATATGTCTTATTTTCACTACAGTGTATGTGTATCTGTCTGTATATGTGTGTGTGTGTGTGGATGTATGTGAGTGTGTGAGAAAAGAAGCTTTCAGGTAATGTCGGTTTGGTATAATATCCAGCATTTCTTCTCTAGATTACCATGGTTGTTTGTCCAAATTTATCCAGAAAAACAACCTTCACAAACCATGCAGCCTAATTGCTTGAATCTTTTGAAAGCAGACTGTAGGACAGAGGTTTACCAGAGTCTCGGTTAAGCTCTAAGTATTGTAGGGCTGCAGATTGCCTTACGTTCTACTGTGCCAGTGTAAATCCAAATCCCTAATTTCTGTGGTGCAAATAAAAGAAAGAGAGAGATAGAGACAGAAAGACATTTAAATTCAAGAGGAGATCGTCCCTGTTTTCCCAAGGAAGGATTTTAAACTTGGGGACATCAGTGGTGCATGAAGAATCTCTTAAGAAGATATGGCAGACTCAGACAAAACTACGTAAAACCAGTTGTAAGGCAACACAAGTCCAGTTTGTACTCTCAAAAGGAAATTGCCCTCTCTTAAACAGCCATGCATTCTAAACAAAGTGCGAAGACATTTTGGGAAGTATTATTCTAATGATAGTGAATAATTTTTTTAAAAGTTTCAGCACTGTGTTTTCAATAAGCTTAAAGAAGCCTTTGGAAATAATAAAAATCATATTAAATTAGGTTGTCCTTATAGATTTGGTCCTTTAAATTATTAGCGTGCTATTTTGTGTTATGGAAGAGGATCACGCACAAATTCTGAATTCAGAAATAAATTCATGACCAAAATGTATCTACTTTTTTAAGTGCCCCTAACCCTCTTTAAGACAAAGCAGAGCATTTCATATTTAAAATGTTTATTTTTAAATCTTACTGTAACCTTTTCAGGGTTTATCAGTTTTCAGTACAGGTCAGAAATATGCAGATATTACATAAAATAAAATTTTAAAACATGTTGTCACAATGCCAGTGTATGTTGTCATGTAGGATATACTCACAGGACCATATTTTGGTAAGTATTTTTTTAATCTAGTGGCTTCAGTGGAAAAAGAGAGTAAAGGGTAAACATGTGCAGTACATTATAAAGAAGTAAAACTGATCAGCGCACAACAGCAGCACTTGAAAGTGAGTGATAGAAGAAAATGGATTTTGTTGAGTGTGTGTGTGTGTGTGTCTTTTGTGTCTGTGTGTACGAAGGGTTGCATTCCAAAATGCTTAAATTTTTGACAAAAAATATTCTAAGATTTGCTTCCATTTTTGGATTTCAGGATTATAGTTTACTTTTTTAGTAGTCTAGACATGTAACGCTTTTGTCTTGGATAGCGATTATTTTTTTTAGAGTTGGCACTTTGTGTTTTTTTTCCTTTCTTTTAAAAAAATAAATGGATAGCCCATTTTGGAATGAAATCCTCCTTCTGTTCTTTTGTGTCATCTCACTCACCAGCTGTTTCCCTCCTCAGCAACAAAGTACACAGTGAGTGTCACAACGCTTCTGACCCCTTTCTGGACTGGTATTTATTTATTTGTTTATTCATTTATGACTTCCTTCTGTTTATTGACTTTACAACCATTCCTTGCTTTTTTCATGTTTTAGATCTCTATCCTTTTCTTGGCCCTTTGTTCGTAACGTCTGTTTTTTTCCAAATTATTGTACACATCTGGCTTTTTTTTTTTTTTTTTAGCTTTTTCTTTATGTTGGCTTATTTTTTTAAAGTACTGTTTCTGTTGCCTACGGCTGTTGCTTTATTGTCATTGACTGTTGGCCCTGAGAGAAAAGTGAGTTAAAGTTGGTAGAAATTTTGGAGGGTAAGAAAGGAGGTGGTCACTGACAGTTTGGGGGTGTTTTTTATCTCATCTTTTTGCAAAAACAAGAAATCAGTTATTCTAACTAATATAAACCATTTAATTCAGCTCGATGGCTATTTTTGCTCTGCACAAAATCTGTCCATTAAATTGTATTTCCTTTAGCATGGGATGATTAGTTGTGTATAATTTGAACAAATTCTGACCTTGCCTCAGTGTTATCCTCCACACTGTTTCCCACGTGGTTTACCAAAATAGGACCGTCCTGCCTTGTGCTTTGGCAAGCTGTGCAGATACCCAAAGCCCTGTTCTGTTAAGAGCTGCGTTGTTTTATAGGTCCAGTCAAATGACCCTTTAAGTGTCTGTGGCCCCCAGTGTGTCTTTATGTCCTTGCTATTTGATGTACTTATATTTTTAGTGTTGGTTTCCACTTCATCATTCTCATGTCTTTGTGCGTTCATTTGCATAGCATCAAGTCTTAAAGCAGGTCTTAACGAGGCCAATCCCTTTCTCCCTTTTCCACCATGCTTCATTTTGCAGCAAGGAGCAGCAGAAGAACCACATTAAGGGAGTCAGCAAGTCAGTGTGGGAGCAGCGCACCAAGGAGCTGAGGAAGCAGACTCTGGCATCCAGCCGCGAGGCCCTCTATAACGAATTGGACGCAGATGACCGCTGGAAGGCAAGGACAGGGAGGGAGGAGCACAACAATGTAAAGGAAAAGGCAAAAAGGGCCCCTAGACTTGTGCTATCAGTGTACACAAGTTATGGCCACGAGTGTTGATGATGACTTTTATTGGTTTTCATTTGTTCTTGTTAATCATTTATCGGTGGCTTATTTACCAACTATGGTCTAAATATTGGTTGGAAATTTCCAATATATAACTGAAATGTAGGTCTTCTAAAGTTTTGCCTCCTCTCATGAATTACATATTTTAAAATTATTCCTTCTGTGCTGTTTCGCTATCCATTCGTTTCCTTGCAGGTCAACTATTCACGTCACATCCGTCCAGACATGAAGACCCATCTTGATCGACCCTTAGTGGTGGACCCCCATGAAAATCGTAATAACAACACAAACAAGACAACTGGCAACAACTCAGACTTCTGTGTCAGCCAGCACCATCCTGAGCACCATGGCCAAGTGGGAGGGGATGGTGGAGGAGGTTCAGGTCCACCCAGACCTCCCATGGAGCGGGGAGAATCCACGGAGAGTAGACGGAGCCGCAAAAGTGAGCATCACCACAGCTCTCATGTCCGTCTGGATGCTACAGTGATTCCTGGGCCGGGTTCAGAGGAGAGGCTACCCAGGCGCCATCACCACACGCGGACTGGGAGTCGAGGAGGAGGGCAGTCCGAACACAGGAAGCCAAGGTCACATCGAAAGAATGCTGAAGATGGTGAGGAAGGTGGGGGAGGAGCTGGAAAATCTGGAAGACATAAGAGCAAAGGAGTGGATGGGAGTAGGGAAGGAGGAGAGCATGAGCGAGCAGGCAATGGCGGTGAGAAGAGGTCAAGAAGAAGCCGGCGTGGAAGCCAAACAGAGGGCGAGGGGAAGCGGATGTGCTCACACAGAAGGAAGTATGTCATTCATTTTTCAGTCATCCTTTTTACAATCTCCTCTAATCTGATGGCTGTAATTCTTTCTTTGACCTCTTCCTAGGGACTGCAGTGTCCCAAACCTATCTACCACACGGCCCATCCAAAAGAGTCTCTCAAGGCAGAATAGCCAGTACAGTGAGGACATGGACAACCTCATGAACACCAAACTGGTGTCTGGTTCTACACCACCTAGCGAGGGTCGCCCCTATCCAGTGGCCAGTCACACTGTCACCCCTGGATTTGGATCTGCCCTTCATCTTGCTAACAGTGGCACTCGTGGAAGTTTGGTCACGTTAGATAGTTATGGGAATGTCGGACATCACCGTGCAAACAGTGTGATCAGGCTGCCCCACCCTGATTATACTGCTGTGGACATGCCCATTTTTCCATCCACCAATGCCATACTGCAAGGTAGGGGTGAATGGATGTGTTTTTCTTTTCTTTTGTATTTCGTCTGCTACTTTATAGCTCTTTACAATGTTTTCCTCCTACCTTCAGTTAATAAAAATGCCAACACTGAACCTCTGCCACCTGCTACAAATGATGATGAGGAAGGAGGGGAAGGAGGGCCTAGGCCCATGCCTCCATATAGCTCCATGTTCATCTTCTCGACCACCAATCCGTAAGTGATACGTACTAACAATTACCAATGCACAGGCTAGCACACGTAGTATATGCACACAATGCAAACTGAAACACACTGTCTCATAATTACCAGTTAACCATATAAACCTTTGGCTAAATCCCTATCCTAATGAGGACACATCTTTCCTTAAGTATGAACACAAAGTCAGCAACACAAAGCAAAGATGAAAACCAGCCCAAAGAGACTTGAAAGCATGAGAAACATGAACAGGTCAAAACAGAGGCTGCAAGCCTGACTGCTCATCACTGCTTTTGTTACTTGTTGAAGTTCAGGCTCTGGCTGCTGGGCTGGGGTCAACATGCACTCAGCTTTATCATCATTCTTGGCTAGCTTTGCGTTAGCATGCTGTCTGTGCAGATGTTTGCAAAGAGATGAAGCAGTATAATACTATAATGGATGCAGTTTCCATTTTACCTTCACGCTCTTGTCCTTTTGTGCAGTGAAAAAAAGAATTGTCCATATCTCCACTCCTCTAATGCTGTATAGCTGTTTTCTGTTGCCTACACTTTGCACAGTCAAAAGTCAGCTTTATTGTAGTTGACTTTTGATCCAAAAGTATGAGATAAAGTTGATTGTTGGTATAATATTTTGAGGGTAGGGAAGGATGTAGTTAGTGTCTAGACAGCTACTCTTGCCTCTTTAGTTAATTTGATGCAGTTTGGTGTGGATTTAGCAGTCTATTAAATTGTCTGTACCTTACAATGGTTTGCCCAATGGATGGAAAATGGAGGCATGAACCACATATCAATTATCTGATCCTGATAGCTACACCAGAAACCAAGAAAAGACTGCCACTGCCCGGCCACTGACAAACTGATGGATTCCCAGATTGATATTTGGGTAAACCCTGCTTTACTTTCTACTGTGGTCCCTCAATTGCCCACAGTGCTGATGGAAAGATTGACTTGCCTGTCACTATCTCAAAAACTATTTCAAATGAAGCTCAATCATTATGTCACGTATTCTAGACTGTGGGTTGGCATAGCATGAAAAGAGGTCATTTGCTAAAATTTGTTGAAGACACAAAGCCTAATTTTAGCAAATGAGCAGGTCTAGTTTGTGTAAACATTAAAACAGAGCTGTTTAAACATTAGTTGAGTATTTGAGAGGGATTTAAATTTTGTTTAGCCTCCACAATGGCCTTCATTATACTTATAAATTAAACATAATGGTATGCATTGCATTAATGCAAGAGAAAAACAAATATCTTTGTCTGCTCCTAGGTTTCGACGAGCATGCCATTACATTTGCACCCTGCGTTATTTTGAGATGTGCATCCTGCTGGTCATTGCAATGAGCAGTATTGCCCTGGCAGCTGAAGACCCTGTTTGGCCCAATTCCCCTCGAAACGATGTAAGAAATTCATCATACATGTATTATTGGTTCTTTTGGCAACTAAAATATTATGCATATAATTTATCTATTATTTTTTGTATTTACTCTCAAGGTTATCTCCCTAGCCTTACGTGCGTGGAGGTCTGAGCAGTAAATGAAATAACTATATAGAGTATGAGATAGAACGTATAAATCCAGCACTTAAAATTATTATTGACAGTTTTATAGTGGGTAGACAATTAAGTGGCACACACAATATTCAGGATTTTCTGTGTTCAGACTCAGCAAAATGATACAAACTCACAGACCACACATGCACAGGAAACAGTTGAAGTTTAAAGTACTGCCTTCTTTAGTAAATTGATATCAGATGATGCAAAATAAGTGCAACACTGCACTTATCTAAAATACAAAATCATCATATGCTCACTTTTTCTTTGTGCAGGTTCTGCGCTATTTTGACTACGTCTTTACAGGAGTTTTTACTTTTGAGATGTTAGTAAAGGTGAGACAAATGAAGAATCAGCATTTTTCCTCAGTGTTGAGACAAACATTTCCTCTTTTTGATAAAGGCTGTAATGGATCCATGTTTTTGGTCTCTTTTCTAGATGGTGGATCTGGGGTTGGTCTTGCACCAGGGCTCTTATTTCCGGGACTTGTGGAACATCCTTGACTTTATAGTGGTTAGTGGTGCTCTGGTGGCCTACGCCTACGCCTTAGCGTAAGTCTCCCTCCTGCTTCCCCCTCTGCTCTCTTTTCTCCTCTCCCACTCCTCTCCCCTCTCACTGGTACCTTGGAGTACAGCGTCCCCGGTTCTTCTTCACTCAACCATGGCTGATTTTTGGCCTCTACTTTCTCTATCCTACACACTTTTCTTTCATTCACTCGCATACATTTTCTCTCTTGGCACTTTTTCATTCTCTTGTCTCCTGTTATCCTCCACCATAAACCCAAGTCTTACCTTTATTTAGAGTGCAAAAGACCTGTCCTCTTTTTTTTGGCCATGTCCTTACTTCATTTCTCTCACGGTCACATTTTGCTCCTGCAGTCCTTTCATTTTTAAGCTCCTCCTATTTCAAGCTCCTTCCAGCTTCTGCGTAAACACTCCCACATTATAAAATAGATCCCAGCATCCTCTCCCTATCTACCTCCCCATGTGAGAGGTGAGGACCACCCTTTGCACCTGTAACCCTTTAGTGCCCAGGGCGTTCTAAAGTAAAAGGGCCCATGCAAACCCCGGCCAGGTCACCAAAAATCTCAACACCGTTCTCTACTACAAAGCAGGTACTTTAATCTTTACTTGATTTGCATGGCTCTAAAGATAAATATACAACTACATGTTGATTACTGAGTTAGGCTGTAGATAATAAGTGCTATGCTGGTACAAAGCATGAATTTTGCTTTTGCATGGTATGTGAGAATATAAAGCAATTTATAGATTTAGAAGTCTGCATTAATGTGATGTCATGTTTTGGATATAATATATACACACATATATGTAGATATTAGGGGTGCAACGATACAC